CACGGCAAGACCACCCTGACGGCCCCCAGCACCAAGGGTGGGGGCCCCAAAATCCTGGGAATTCACCCCAAAAATGAGGGGGGGAAATATCCCAAAATTTGGGAGTTATAACCCAAAAAACGGGGGTGAAACGGCTCAAAAATGAGCAAAATGACCCCAAAAATGGGGGGAGGGACCACGGCAAGACCACCCTGACGGCCCCCAGCACCAAGGGTGGGGGCCCCAAAAATGGGGGAATTCACCTCAAAAATCTGGGGGGGAAAATATCCCAAAATTTGGGGGTTGTAACCCAAAAAACGGGGGTGAGACAGCTCAAAAATGGGCCAAATAACCCCAAAGATAGGTCAAAATAACCCCCTAAAATGGGCCAAATGACCCCAAAAATGGGTGGAATCACCCCAAAAATGGGGGGGGGAAATATCCCAAAGTTTGGGGTCTGTAACCCAAAAAATGGGGGTGAAACGGCCCAAAAATGGGCCAAATAACCCCAAAAACGGGTCAAAATAACCCCCAAAACCAGGGGGAGGGACCCAGGGGGTTTATGGGATTTTATGGAGTTTTATGCGTTTTTTGGGGTTCTTTGGGATTTTATGGGGATTTTTGGAGTTTTTTGGGGGTTTGAGGGCTCGGGGTGGTTTTGGGGTCTCAGGGGGGTCTCTGATGTGATTTTGGGATCCCCCCCCAGTCCTGTCCCCCGGGGGGGTGTTTGGGGTCCCTGTGGGGTTTTGGGGGTTCTTTAAGATTTTATGGAGTTTTATGGGATTTTGGGGGCAGGGGGTGGTTTTGGGGTCTCAGGGTGGTTTTGGGGTCTCGAGGTGGTTTCTGGGGGGTCTCTGATGTGATTTTGGGGTCCCCCCCCAGTCCTGTCCCCAGGGTGGGTATTTGGGGTCCCTGTGGGGTTTTATGGGATTTTTAGGGTTTTGGGGTCTCAGGGTGGTTCTGGGTTCTCAGGGTGGTTCTGGGGTCTCAGGGTGGTTTCTGGGGGGTCTCTGACCCGTTTTTGGGGTCCCCCCCAGTCCTGTTCCCCGGGGGGGGCTCTTTAGGGTCACTATAGGATTTTATGGCATTTTTTGGGGTTTTTTAGGGTTTTGGGATCTCAGGGTGGTTTTGGGGTCTCGGGGTGGTTTCTGGGGGGTCTCTGACCCGTTTTTGGGGTCCCCCCTCAGTCCTGTCCCCCAGGGGGGCTGTTTAGGGTCACTGTAGGGTTTTATGGAATTCTATGGGTTTTTTTAGGTTTTTGGGGGCTGGGGGTGGTTCTGGGGTCTCAGGGTGGTTTTGGGGTCTCAGGGGGGTCTCTGATGTGATTTTGGGGTCCCCCCCTCAGTGCTGTCCCCCGGGGGGGTGTTTGGGGTCCCTGTGGGGTTTTACAGGATTTTTAGGATTTTGGGTTTTTTTTAAAGTTTTGGGATCTCAGGGTGGTTTTGGGGTCTCAGGGTGGTTCTGGGGTCTCGGGGTGGTTTCTGGGGGGTCTCTGATGTGATTTTGGGGTCCCCCCTCAGTGCTGTCCCCCGGGGGAGGGGCCCAGTTCCGGCGTTACGAGGAGATCGACTCGGCCCCCGAGGAGAAGGCGCGAGGGATCACCATCAACGCCGCCCACGTGGAGTACAGCACCCCAAACAGGCACTATGCCCACACTGACTGCCCAGGACACGCAGATTATGTCAAGGTGGGGGCACCCCAAAACTCTGCACCCCAAAA